GCTGGCCTCTGCCTCCCAAGTGCTGGGATTAAAGGTGTGTGCCACCACCGCCCGGCTGCTTTTGATTTTTGAGACAGAGTTTTGCATTATGTCGTCTCAGCTTTCTGAGTGTTAGGATTAGTGCCTGGCTTAGGATCAGTTTGTTAAACTTTCCTCAAAGTTTAGGCCAACTTCATCAAATTTGAACTGTTTATAAATAAGGACTCCAATAGTAATCCCCATGTATTCTAGACTCTTTTCTACATGGATTGGCATCCTTCTGGTGCTACCCTCTGTTTGAAATTTGAAAATGACAATTGATTCAGTTATCTAGATTGTGAGAATATTTGAATTATTATCATAAGTAACCATTCACTTTTGAGTGTGTTGGCATATGCTTTTGTGGATTTTTGAAATTATATTTCTCTCTCTCCCTGGGTGTGTGCGCGAGCACAAGATGTACTGCAATATATGAGGACACTTGTAGGAGTTGGTTCTCTCCTTCCACCATGTGAAGCCCAGTGATCAAAATCAGCTCATCACACTTGGTGGCAAGCATTATATTGACAGCCTAGCATAGACTTTTATTGCCAGTATTTTTGAGGATGAAGCAGGAAGGATGCCTCAAATTCAAGGCCAGCTTGGCCTATAGTGTGAATTCCATACCAAGCTGGGCTACAAGAGTGAGATTTTTCTACAAACAAAAAAGATCCTTCTTTTTCTTTCTTTCTCTTACATTCTAGCCCACTCAGAATCAAACCCCTGACTTGGTTCCTTGTTAGATTCTTCTTTACGTAGGGTACTGTCCAAATTTACAAGTCCTGCTCATCCCTAAATAGATGTCCAACCCATTTCTCTTCCTCATTCCTGCTATCTCTTGTCCTTATTGAAGGCCTTGTCTCCTGTCACCTGCCAGCTACATGTCTGCAGCAGACTCATAGGGCTCTCCCTGCTTTGTCTTGATCCATTTCAGCCCATCCACTTTCTGAAGGCTAACAAGATGATAAAGCAAATAGGCATGTGATATCCTCATTGCTTGATGATCTCCCATCACTTACAGCAAATGCTCTCACACCTCTGGTCAGGGTTAGGGCTTAGGGGCCCACTAAATCTTTTCTTTTTCTAACTTTCTAGCCTCCATTTCCCTACATTTGGGTTATGTAGAACTAACTGCTTGACTAGAGACTCACCCCCACCTCAAGTTCCCCAAGAAATTTTGATGTCTGACCTGATTGAGAAACTTGCAGCTTTCCAGGATCAAGTCTGATCCTCTCTGCCAGGTGCAGGAGGCCCTTTGTGATCTGACTTCAGTTTAGCAGTTGGCTGTATTCCCTACCATGCCTTGTGACACACTTTCTGCTCAGTCCTTTCATTCCATTTCTTGTCTCTGTGCCTGTGTACATAGTTTGTCCTTCACCAAAATGGGAAGTAACTTCTCTTTTCCTTAAAGTCTGAGATATCCTTTTTGTATACATAGAATCAGTCAGTGTACAATAAAGCACTGCCATTCTGGATATTAATCCTTTTTCATGTTCTGTATGAACTTACTTTTAAAGATTGCATTCGACAGCTTAGCGTCTCTGTTCTTGTAATGTGACTAAGTAGACACCTGCCTTTTCTCCATAAGAGACCTTTATGTTCAGTTACTTTAAATTTTGCATGAAAAAGTAAAATAGTTCATCAACAAATTAGATATTTATAAACATTTTGGTGGTTTTTGAGGCAGGGTCTCACTATGTTGCCTTGGCTGTGCCGTAACTCATTCTGTAAATGAGACTGGCTTGGAACTCAGATTGCCTGCCTCTGTCTCCAGAGTACTGAGACTCAAAGGTATGTGCCACCATCGCTGGGCTGGCCTTGAATTTGCAGCAGTCCTCTTGCCTTTTATTTCTGAATGCTGCGATTACAGTGGCACTGTATCTGTCTCCCAGCAAGTATATTTTTAAGTGACATGTTTGGTTTTGAAGCTGGGTGTATGTTAAAATATCATTCATCATTCACTATTTAATAATAATATACTGAGTGTCAGAAGTAGACTAAAATGGCTGAGAATGTGTACTTCAGTACTAGGCCACTTACATATCATTCACAAAGCCCTGGGTTTGATCCTCAGCACTACCAAAACAGTCACTAAAATGTTTGCTTCCAGTGTTCTATGCATGGTTTAGGATTTGAATGATTAAATTTTATAATTATTATTTTTGTAAATGACAGATCAGAAGAGTTTACAGAAGCTGTTTGCCAGCAGATCTGTGCAATGACGTATTTAGAATTTGAGTGATTAGGGCTGGAGAGAGTTCAGCAGTTAAGAGCACTGGCTGCTCTTCCAGAAAACTCAGCTTCAATTCCTAGCACCCACATGGCAGCCCACAGCTGTCTGTAACTCCAGTTCCAGGGGACTTGACAGACACGTGCAGGCAAACTCAATGCACACAAATTAATAAATACACAGATCTTTTTAAAGATTAAAAATAGTTTAGATTCTCGTAAGTCAGAAGTCAGGTAGACAAACTGTCAGTATATTCTTGTCTTTTTTGAACTTTATTTGGTGTGTATGTGTTTGGGTAGGCACACACTGTGGCACACATGTAGAAGTCAGACGACAACTTTGGGGAGTTAGTTTTTCCTTCCATGATCGTTTCACAGATCACACTCAGATCTTCAGACTTGGTGGCAAGTACCTTTACATGTGTAACCATCTTGTTGGCCCAATTCTTGCTATTTACTGTTGGCTTTGAAATAATGGCCCATCTTTATGTTCTTTATAAGAATTTTGCCTAGGTAAATGCAGTTTTGAACCTAATGGAGGGAGAGCATGACAGGACTTTTTGACATCACAATCTGAGTTCTGTCTTGGTTTAATATTAGTTGCAAACTACAAAAGAGATGATCTGGAATTTAAAGTGTTACAGAGGTCAGAACCACCAGCACCTAGTACTAACTCCCTAAAGAGTCATGAATATGTAAATCTTATTTCTGGTGGCCTCTTTAAATGTTACACTCTACTCAAGTTTTTCATGTAATGTAGTTGCTTTTGCCAATATCCATCTCCTCCTCTGGAGACTAAAAGTTAACAAACTTGGACTGGGACTTGTCCCAGTGTGGCTTGAGATTTAAATTCCATGTAATTCCAAATAGTCAGTGTTTCTAGACTTCCATTTGTTCTCTTATAAAATGTCAACAGTACTGTACTCTTTTTCACAGGTTGCAATATGTATTAAATAGTACTTGGTCAATAAATGGTAATCACATTTATTGTTACTGCATTTAAAATAATCATCTGCTCTCACTGGAGTAGAGTCTTTGTCATACTAGTATCTTCTAATATCTAACGTAAAGTCTTTTTTTAACTGTTAGTAAGTCAAATATGTTTCAGAAATTTCCTCAAGTATAATTTTATCACTTATTAAAGACAAAATCAAATTTGCACACTGAGATGGATGTTTATTTTTACATAAATAATTAAATCAGCAAATATTTGATACTAGATGAGTATCTTCAGGATTTTTGTTTGCAGTATTAGGGATTGAGCCTAACATGAAGTCTTAAAATATACAATTGAAACTCACTGTTTGATGAAGTAGTTAAAACATAAATGTCTAGCCAGAAGGAAAACAAATACATGTGGGAGGACACTTGCTTCCTGGGAGCATTGGGGCTTCTAGAACTTAAGGCCTTGGACCTGTTTCCCTCTGCTTGTGGCAAGCTGGCCCAAATAGAACTAGTTGGACTTAGAACAAAAAGAACATTTTCGTGTTTCTTTGAAAGACTTACATTAATGAATCTAACTTTTCTGATAGATAGTTCTAGGTACTGAGTTCTCATTAACCTTCACTGCACTTTTCTGTGTTGCCGGAGATGCCCTTAAGTAATGTGTGCTATAAGGTTATTTACGTAGCAGTTACATTTTTGGTCTTTAGTCAAATAATTTTTCTTGTGTTTTATTTTCCAAATAATATATAACACTGATTACTTTGGTGATTTCTGTAAAGCTTTTTAAAATTGTAGTGTTTGGCTGGGTGGTGGTGGTGGTGGTCCACACTTTGATGATCCCAACACTTGAGAAGCAGAGGTAGATAAGTTTGAGACCAGCAAGGGCTATAACACAGAAAAACCCTGTCTCAAAAAACCAAAACAAAACTGTGGTGTTTGCTCTGTAACATTTTCCTGATTTTTGCCCTTTTTCATTTCTCTCTTCCATTTTCCATATGGCCCTTCTTTTTTTCTTTAAAACAGGACAAATGCACATTTCAGTTTGTTTGAATTTATATATTGTATTTACTTTCCACCAAGGACCTTGACTTAAAGTCACAAGTTAAAGTTATATATGTGTTACTTACATAGAAGATATATGTTGTAAGTTTTTTATTTATTTATTTATTTATTTTTTTACTTCTTTGGGCAAGGTCTCCCATGTAGACTAAGTTGCCTGTCTTTGACTCCTGAGGGCTGGTATTAAAGGCATGTGCCATCGAGCCAGCATTTGTAAGTTTTAAGCAGATTGAATTAGAATTTGCATTCCCCATCTCATGGAGATATACTTCTCTGGCAGTCATGTTATTTTTTTTAAAGCATATCATTCTGATGAAAATAGATCACATCAAATGTGTTCAAGAATAGTAACCATGAAAGTAGTGCTTAAAAAATATTTGTATGAGGACCATGCTTTTTTCATTTTACTACTAAAACATTATTTAAAGGTTCTTGCCTTAAATACTCACACTATTTTAAATACAGGATTGCTTTTATCTGTGGTTTAGCCAAGGCTAAATATATCCTTATTTAAATATATGTCATCAGGCATTTTTTCTATAGTATTAATTTTCTATAGTTTTAATATCTGATCCCAGAAAAGTCTCTAGAAGTGTATTTATTAACCTTCTACTTGTCTGGGTTAAAAGCACCCAATTTTATGCGAATCAGGTTAAAGAGAATGTTTGTTAACAGGACTCTCAAAAACAGTAACTTTCTTTTTGAGCATTTTCTATTATTATTTGAGATGTATTTTTCTCCTTGTTTAGTGGATGATGCTGGCAAAATAGAACATGATGGTTCATCTGGATTGACCATGGACACGGAAACTGAAATCGACCCTTGTAAAGTGGATGGCACTTGCCCTGAAGTCATCAAGGTGTACATTTTTAAAGCTGACCCTGGAGAAGATGACTTAGGTGAGAGGGAAGCCTTAGCATCTTTTTGTTGTTGTTTCTGAGACAAGGTTTCTCTGTGTAACAGCCCTGGCTGTCCTGGGACTCAGTTTATATTTGCAGACCAGGCTGGCCTTGAACTTGAGATCCACCTTCCAAGTGCTGGGATTAAAGACGTGTGTGTCACCACTGCTAACCTTAGCATCTTAGACATCCTGATCAGTGCTTCAGTCTGTTTTTGGCTTATTTAGATGTGAAGTTTTTATGAAGATAAAATAATTTTAACAGCGTCAGAAAAAGAAGTAGAAATGAAATTTTAAAATAAATTATTGGAGCTTCTGTTTTCCTTGATAGGTGGAACTGTAGACATTGTGGAAAGTGAGCCTGAGAATGATCATGGAGTTGAACTACTTGATCCAAACAACAGTATTCGGGTTCCCAGGGAAAAGATGGTTTATATGACTGTTAATGACTCTCAGCAAGAAGAGGAAGATTTAAGTAAGTAGGTGGCCTTTCTGTGGGAGAAAATGTGTTTCTGAGTGTTTTCCCTGTCTCTTTTAAACGGTCAGTATTTGCAGGAAATAAGTAGCATTGTTTTAGAAATTATTTTGTTGGCATGTTCTGAGGGAATTGTTACTGACCCATTTTATTTATTTGTGTGTGTCTGTGTGTGTGTGAAGTGTTGTTAACTTAAAACTAAACTGGTGAAAACTAAGAACTGAGTCATTAAGTAAGTATTTGTTGAGTGTTTATTATACAAAAGCTGTGTTCTAGGTATGTAATGTTTGGACTTCTTTCTGCTTGCATATTAGCTGAGTTCAAATAAAAGTATCTTTCCTTTGATCTCTCTAAGCCTGATCAGAAAAGTTCATGTATTTTCTACTTAGATGTTGCCGAAATTGCCGACGAAGTTTATATGGAAGTGATTGTTGGGGAGGAAGATGCTGCAGCCGCAGCTGCAGCTGCAGTGCACGAACAACAAATAGATGACAATGAAATGAAAACTTTCATGCCAATTGCATGGGCAGCTGCTTATGGTAAGTCACAGAGCAGTTCTTTAGACATGAATTTGCGATTGAAAAACAGTTTTTGTAGCTAGGTGATGGCCGCGCATTCCTTTATCTTAGTACTTGGAAGGCAGAGGCAAGCAGATCTCTGAGTTTAAAGCTGGGCTGGTTTAAAAAGTGAATTCCAGGACAGCTAGAGCTGTTATACAGAGAAACCCTGTCTTGAAAAACAGTAACAACAACAAAAAACAAAACAGTTTTTGTGGTTTTAGGTTTTCAGAAATCTGAAATGCTAGTACTATATAAGGATTATTTGATTTAAATGAGAATAGAGGAAGATTATAAAGTCTACTTTTTGTCCTGACTTTTAACAGGCATTTCCTTTATGTATATATTACATAGAAGGAAATAAACTGTGTGAAGTATACAGGTTTCGGGCTGGAACCTTTCATCTTAACTGTATCAGACCCATAACTTTAAAATTTTGGGAAACAGCATGGGAACCCATGGGGAAAATACTGACATATATTTGAGTTTTACCGTAATGAATGTGCTCATAAAAACTCCATTACCTAGAGTGGGATATTTCTGTCATTCATGAGTATCATGGCTTTTCATTGTTGTGATTAATAAAGAATTCCTAATTCTTTATAATTTATAATACTGTATGATTTTGTTTTTTTAATACACATTGTTAGGTAATAATTCTGATGGAATTGAAAACCGGAATGGCACTGCAAGTGCTCTCTTGCACATAGATGAGTCTGCTGGCCTCGGCAGACTGGCTAAACAAAAACCAAAGAAAAGGAGAAGACCTGATTCCAGGCAGTACCAAACAGGTGAGGGCGTGCGAGTTCCACGGTGCAGCGTGCTCCGCAAGCTCTCAGGAAATGCTAGTGTGCATCCACAGGGGTATTGTGTTGGCATCTTAGTGGCTAGACTATATGTAGCTTTTTTTATATTTAATTTTAAAATATAATTTTCAGAATTGAGTGATATTCATGAATGATTTTTCTTGATTAAAATGGAATGGGAATTGGATCAAAGAAGGATGAAAAAAGTTAAAGCTTGAATTGCATGAAAATGAAAGGCAACCATGTTGGCAAGTGTTAATTTTGGAAAAAAATAGTTAAAGAATTATTATTTCAGCATAAAATGGGCATAATTTTTAGAGCAGCAGGATATATGTATGCTTGAGTTTATATATTGTAACTTATTTCTTACACCTATTTACATATTAAGAATCTTACTGATATATTTAGACTCTATTGTAAGTTAATATAAGTTAATGTTTTTTTAATAAAGCAGAAATTATAATTTAAAAACCTTATGAATATGGGTTTCTAAATTTTTAAGGGTTCATCACTTGCCAATAGAAATTACAAATTTATTCATTTTGTTAAAATGGAAGAGGTTAGTGTAGATGAAGTTCTTAGGGCCAGGTTGCTGTATCTTGTAGATTGAAAATGACAAGTCAGTGTGTAGTTTGTTACCCGAATTAGGAACCCCTGGCTATGCATTCAGACTTTTGAAGAAACCCAAATTGGCATGTTTTGGTCACTTATGCTCCTTTCCTCTCATAGCAATAATTATTGGCCCAGATGGACATCCCCTGACTGTCTATCCTTGCATGATTTGTGGGAAGAAGTTTAAGTCGAGAGGTTTCTTGAAAAGGCACATGAAAAACCATCCTGAACACCTTGCCAAGAAGAAGTACCGCTGTACTGACTGTGATTACACTACCAACAAGAAGATAAGTTTACACAATCACCTGGAGAGCCACAAGCTAACCAGCAAGGCAGAGAAGGCCATAGAATGTGATGAGTGTGGAAAGCACTTCTCTCATGCTGGGGCTTTGTTTACTCATAAAATGGTGCATAAGGAAAAAGGAGCCAACAAAATGCACAAGTGTAAATTCTGTGAATACGAAACAGCTGAACAAGGCTTATTGAATCGCCACCTTTTGGCAGTCCACAGCAAGAACTTTCCTCACATTTGTGTAGAGTGTGGCAAAGGTTTCCGTCACCCATCAGAGCTCAAAAAGCACATGCGAATCCATACTGGGGAGAAGCCCTATGAATGCCAGTACTGCGAATACAGGTCTGCAGACTCTTCTAACTTGAAAACACATGTAAAAACTAAGCATAGTAAAGAGATGCCGTTCAAGTGTGACATTTGTCTTCTGACTTTCTCAGATACCAAAGAGGTGCAACAACATGCTCTTATCCATCAGGAGAGCAAAACACACCAGTGTTTGCATTGCGACCATAAGAGTTCCAACTCAAGTGATTTGAAGCGACACATAATTTCAGTTCACACAAAGGACTATCCTCATAAGTGTGATATGTGTGATAAAGGCTTTCACAGGCCTTCAGAACTCAAGAAACATGTGGCTGCCCACAAGGGTAAAAAGATGCACCAGTGTAGACATTGTGACTTTAAGATTGCAGATCCGTTTGTGCTAAGTCGCCATATTCTCTCGGTTCATACAAAGGACCTTCCATTTAGGTGTAAGAGGTGTAGAAAGGGATTTCGTCAACAGAGTGAGCTTAAAAAGCATATGAAGACACACAGTGGCCGGAAGGTGTACCAGTGTGAGTACTGTGAATATAGCACTACAGATGCCTCAGGCTTTAAGCGGCACGTTATCTCCATTCATACGAAAGACTACCCTCACCGCTGTGAGTACTGCAAGAAAGGATTCCGGAGACCCTCGGAAAAGAACCAGCACATAATGCGCCATCATAAAGAAGTTGGCCTGCCCTAACAGTAGTCTTCACCGATGTTTGCAGAGAAACTGGCCTTGAAACAGAAAATTCATTTAAAAGCCAATCAGTCTTGTTCACATACAATACTGTATCAAATTGATTTATGCTGTGTACAAATAGAAATATTGCTTCTAGTTGACTTTGTTTTTACATTTCGTTCAATAGTGTGTTCTGAATTCTATTCAGTTTGTTTAATACATGGGGAAACACAGCAACAAATTAGTTGCTTTTACTAAAGTAATCCCTGGTTCTATACTGAAGTTTTCTATCTTAGAGGTTTTATATTTATTTTAAAATATTTACCTTGCTTACCTTGATGGTACTCTTCTAAGACCATTTAACTCATGGTAACTTCGCATTGGTAACTGAAGGTCTTCATGTTGACTCAATTTTTTTCTCACAAATTTCTCACAATAAAATTGTCAGAGATATTTAATAGGAATGGGAGATTTTTACAGTGAGGTCTCATGATCATAACATGGAAGTCATTTCCTTGTCTTGCTTAGTATTTGCAGGCTATATGACAGTGAAAGTTTCCATATGAACTTTCGTGTCCCTGGCATTGCTGAGTAAAAGAACAGTGGCTGGGTTTGTGTTTACTTTTCTTTTTTATTTCTTTTTAGTGGACAAAATATACTTCTTTTTTCTTTAGACTATCTTTTGTCAGTGTAGTAAACTTTTAGAAAACCTTGTTGGAAATTTTTGCTTGATCCTGTTGTATTTTGATTATTCTGTCTGTGCTGCTTTGTCTTGGAATGGTTGTGTGCTACAAATGAAATTTAACTGAGGACTGCATTTTGGAATCTCCTAGGGGTAACTTGTGGCTCATAGGATCTTTTGCAACTTTATATATGTAAATGTACCCTGAATTATATATATCTATCTATATATACACATATATATGTAACATGTATCTGTGTGTATTGCTTATTTTACATACTTATACACACAACCCCCAGTAGTAGTTGCTTAAAATCTATAATGAAAAGTATTAAATTTACAGTAACGTGAAAGATCCAGGGATGCAAGAGAGAGCATTTTGTAAGTCTTGCTCTTCAGAGAGACTACTCAGGTGAAGAATTAGAAGGAAAATAAGGACACTAGTATTTTTAAAGAGTAAAGGTATTTTCTTTTAAATATCTTTGGTAATTGAAAAATAATTGAAAAAATAGAGGTTAAGATGTTTATAGATACAATGTTTTCATACAGTTTCAACTCCATGCCTTTATATTTTTCTGAAAAGCTAATGGGTATCCAGACAGGAATCCCTCAGTTCTCTCTGAGAAACGGGAGAGAGAACTCTTGTCTGACCAAGCGAGAGGGACAGAAAGGGAGTGATGGCTCCATGGACCAGAGAACGGGTGCTAATAAGGACTTAGACTTGGCAAGTTGAGCCTGCTCTGTTAGTTCTTAGTTAACCTGAAAAACCTTAACACTCGGTTGTCTTGGATTACACGATAGAGGTGTGGTCCAAGTGTGTGAACAGTCTGAGGCCTCATGTGGATCCTCACCAAGTCTTTGACAGTTTTGTTTTTGAGAGCTGGCAGTTCGTAACATACAGGACTGAGCGCTGATAAAATTTGTAAAAAGTTGGTTACTGAGATTTTGTTAAGATGTCTTTTGGAAAACAGTTTCTAGAGTCCCTGGAATTGGCTGTTGGCACACGGGTCTGGCACATCATGGGGAGACTTAGAAGTTTTCTTCCCACTCGATAGCTGCCTTGCCGCCTCATTATGGTGCTCCATCCCTTTTGTGCCGTTAGGTTTTTACCTTTCATCTTTCTCTTAGTCATCAATATTTGTATTCAAAAGTTTATATTTTTGGGGTTAGATGTCTTGAATATTTGGTGTTTGGCAAACCTCTGAAGTGCTAGATTGATTTAGTCTAGTTCTAAATCAAATTCTTAAGGCTGGTATGAACTCCATCCTCAATGCCAGTCAAAGCCAAGGCGTAGATTCCCTAGCCTTTCCATCCAATAGGGAATTCTTTCGCCTTTGTAGCCTCTGCAATGTGCTTTAAAAATGCATCACAACTCAACTATGATTTGATTTATGCCCTGTTATTCTTGAAAGCTCTGTCTTTTTTTGTGAGAACTTAAAAAATCTACTTTATTATTTTCCCCAGAAGTAATTTAAACACCTAACATTGAAATTTATGAAATTTAAAAATCATCTACAATCAGTACAGAAAATATAAATGATTGGATCATTTAACATATTTTTTTAATAAACTGAAAGATAAGGAACACAACACTTTACACACTTTATATTTCTCTTTACATGATCTGGAACCATACACAGTTCTTTTCTTTTTTTAAAGCACAATATTGAAGCCTTTAAAAGGTATTTAAGGGTTTGGTCAAGTGAATATAAAATGTGTTTGTCTGTATAAAGAGAAAATGAAGTAGTCACTGTTATGTACTGACATTAGTTACAACCTAGTTTTAATTCTTAAAACAATTTTGATTAGCAAAGCTAAAAAGGATGTTTCAGTTAAATGTTTTAAAGAGGTACAGATTTTTACAAGGACATAATATAAGTTATTGTTCTGTAGAAATATCCTATTAAATATTGTATGTCCCTCCCTCTGTATACTTTGTAAAAAAAAGTAAAATACATAAAAAGAAAATCATATAGGGGATGTGTGACATTATTGTAATTGTGTACTTGAGAATAACGTGCAAAAATAAAAATCAGAATATTTTCCTGTTAATGAATGTTCAGTCTATTTGATACCAGTACTAAGTTAATGCTTTTTCTTAAGAAAGAAAATGTACAGTTTTTGTAAACCTAATAAACATCAAAAGCAGTGGATTATTTTCATCCCCCTATTTCTTAATTCCTTTTATGCAGCAGTGGAATGCAAAATGCTTGATTGCTTTGAATTTTGTGACTTGGATGCAAATACTGATATTTCAGTCCTGTGAATTTGCAAGTAACATTACAGAGAAGTTAAGAGGTGATTGGTGAGTCCTTTGATGAGCATGTCCTTGAAATTCATTTTTTCTTTTATCTTTGTAAATGATTTATTTTATTAGCATCCTGTTAGAAATTACCTGCGCATAAAGTGGGTTTTGAAAGCACTTAAAATTTGTTTTATTATCAATTCGCAACATATTTAGTCTGAGGGAGACTATCACTATTCAGAAGCCCTACCTTTGAGTTGCCCATTTGTGCCTAGGTTGGAGGCCTCTAGTAGAACCCAACATGCTGGAGGATGGTCACTGTAGTAGTAAAAATTGCAAGTTGGGTAAAAGTTGTCAGGATTCATGAGAAAGATTAGCAGCACTTTGGAGTTTTTTTCAATGAGATTCTGTGATGTAGAACCAGCGTTGGCCTAAGAAGAGGTAACAAATAACCAAAACTTAAGATAAATGTCCAAGAGAATGGTGGACATCACACTCAGAGTCTTAAGTTTGACCAAACCAGGACTTGCTGGAAAATGTGATCCCGCTCATTCTGCTAAAATATGCAGCCCTATTGTTGCCTGGGATCTCGCTATTAATTTCCTGCAAAATCTTAGATTTGTGTAAGGAAAAGCAGGATCAGTGAGCATCTTAAGGAGGAACGATGTCAGAGTAAAGCCTGGCAGCATGGTAATCTCCTGGGGTGTGGTTAAAGCCGCAGGTTCTCTGCCCTATGCCAGTCCCCAGTGAACTGGGACAAGGCACAAGCCCTAGTAGCCTGTGTTTTAGGAAGCTGTCCCAGTGATTCTGTTGCATGCTCAAGTTTAGTGAAAGTGAGCTTAGAGCACTTGAAGAACCTAAAAATTGCTTAGTGTGACGTTTTTGTATAGTAGGAAGCTCACAAAAAAGCAGCTAGAGATGGCACAGTGAGAATAAATTAGGCCTCAGAGACTTTTGCTTTATCCTTTCTGTAAAAGTCTGAGCCAGTCACTTAAGTATATCCTTCAGTGCACATCTGAATAGCTTGCACCTCCTACTTTTACATAGCCCCCAATGTTGCATTCCTCAAAGGTAGGACGACTTGATAAGTAAAGAGGACTGAAAATTGTGCGTTCGTGTGTGTGTGTCTAATTGGCCCAGAGTTACTAAAGTAGTTCATATTAAAAAGGACATTTTGCTGCATTTTACAGCTTTTTAGGAGGTCAAAATTAAGTTTGCCCTATGAATTTTGTTTTATCTTTTGTTTCATGTATATATTGTTTGCCTTTTTCATAAAATAATTCTTGGATTTGTTATATATTGTTCCTGTTATTTTTGACATCTTTGCTATTGTAAATAAATTCCTATTTTGTTTTAAGTTACCCTAGTGGAGTGTTGGCTATAGACAAGGCATACACGGACACTTGTGCACACATCACACTTACAGAGATGTGACTTGAATCACACGAGAATGCCCATCTTGTTCCAAGCCCCTTTACTTTAGTCCTTTTCACCACCAAGGGAACCACTGTTGCTTTAAAGCACAGCTCCTGCAATGACTTGGATTTTATTTGGCTAGACAGGCTGGCCAGCAAAGCCCAGGGGTGCTCCTGACTGCTTCCCCCTTGCTGAGAGTACAGGCATGTGCCATCATGTGACTTTACCCTGGCTTTGGAGATTGAGTTCCTGTCCTCACGAAAGCACAGCAAGCACTTTACTGGCAACCATCTCCCCAGCCCTACTTGGGTTTTAACATTGTTGTCTGACCTCTCATGGAAATATTTGATCCACTTGAGGGTACAAATCAAGAATTATTTTCTTTTGCTTGGCTTTCCCTAACCAGCTCCCTCTCATTTTACCTGTCTTGCTGGTGGTATTGGAAAAGAAAGAGTTTGGCACTAGTGACCTGCTGATACTAAAAGATCACTAAGATACCTTACTACCAAGGCCCTTTGTGTGAGTCTTAGGTGGCATACAGCTATGGGGACTGCCCCAGAAGTGTCTGAATATAGCAGTGAACTAGACTTGTGTAAATTATTTTGCTTTCTAAGAGGAGTCAGTTTGATTGCTTCATGTTTCTGTTTGACTTAATGCGGAGTCCATTTAGCAGGGATACAGTTTGGGGTCTGAGGGGTTTTGTTGTTTCTGCCCTCATCTCTTGAGTTCTAAACTTGTTGGGACTATGCACAAGAACCACCTGTTGGGCTGGAGAATCTTAGTCGGTGGTTAAGCACACTTCCAGATGCGATGGTGCTCTTCCAGATGACCTGAGTTCAGTTCCTAGTGCCCAGCTGTAATTCTGGCTCCAAGGGATGTGATGCCTGTTTCGGGCCACCAAGGGTACCTCATGTACATGCCATCCACTCACACAGATGGACATACATGTACATACATAAAAATAACCAAATGAGTGTCACTATTGGAATGCCGAATGGGAAGACTCGATGCTGCAATGTGGTTACTTAAAAATTACACCCAGTAGAAGCCCTGCTTGCAGCCATCATATGAAGGCATGGAGCCTACCCTCTGCTCTGAGTCACAAAATCTATTTCCTACAGAGCATGCTCTGGCCGCCCTGACTGGGACCTGGAAAGGTGGAGAAAGGGTTGTCTTGTGCCATCCTAGGTTGTCCTCTGGCACTAGCACAGGAGTAGCTGTAAGCTTTTCCCTTTTGACCATGTATGTTTACAGCAAGTACATTTATCCACTGAGCCCTCCCACTGGCCCAAGGCTGCCTTCAAATTTAAGAACACACTACCTCTGCCTCTGGAGTGCAGGGATTACAGGCATACAATACGGTTAGTGGCAGAGAAGTAATGAAGGACAAATTTAAAGCTGAGGATAGCATGGGTAAGATCCTGATTTCAGTCTCTTACCAACACACACACACAAGATGGACATGCAAGCACACAAATTGAATTCAGTTCGATTGCCCTGAATTAAAGGCTAGCCTGGTCTACATAGCCTGCATCTGAGCAGTAATGGCGCACGCCTTTAATCCCAACAGTCAGGAGGCAGAGGCAGATAGATCTTTGTGTTTGAGGCCAGCCTGGTCTACAGAGCAAGTTCCAGAACAGCCAAAGCTACACAGAGAAATCCTTTCTCAAAAACGCAAAAAGACCTTGTTCCCTTTGCCTCAGCCTCCCAAATGCTAGGATTATAGTATGTATCACCATGCCCGACTGCTGGGTTTTTTTTTTGTTGTTGTTGTTGTTGCTGTCAAACAAGTACAAATTTTTGAAATTTTAGACAATTAAAAGTGCACTTCTTTTGGGGGAAAATACAGAATGATATAACAAAAAAAAGAACCGACAAAACCCCAAACAACTTTGTCTCCTTAGCTCCAATACCCAGAACACAATTGTCCTTTAAAAATTCCCTATTGGGCAGGTAGACAGCTCAACATGGGAAAGCACTTGCCGTGCGTGCCTAGTAACCTGAGTTCAGTCCCCTAAGCCCATAATTTAAAAATCTGGATACAGTGACATGCACCTGTAACCCCAACTTTTACAGCAAAATGAGAGGTGGAGACAGGAGAAAACCCCTGTACACACCATGACGCCTGTGGGCCAGCTAGCCTGGAGTGTGTACACAGGACAGCAGAAACAGGCCCTGTCTCAGTAAGGTGGAAGAAGAGAACTATCGAGGAGCTTGCTCTCTTGTTGGGTGCTGTGGACCCCAAGACCCTGAATTTCTATAAACAACTTGCTTGCTGCTGCTCTGAGCAAAACAAATTGTTTTTCCTGTGTTTGCAGCTGCTCTGAGCATGAGACGGGAGTGGGTTCTGGTGGCTGCAGCTGAAAGATCCCGAGAGCTGGGGTGTGGTCAGAGCCCTATATAAGCTGCTCCTGAGCATAATAAAGTAGGCATTCTTGGCATTCTTGTTTCAAGGATGACCTGTGTCCCTGTGTCTCTGTGTGTGTATGTGTTTAAATTTCCAGCCTAGTGCCCGAGGCTCGGGAACATATGTAGCACACAGAGTGCACAGAGCAGATGGTGTGCTTTACGCAATTGCAAAATGAGTGTAAAGCTGGATGTAGTGGCACGTCGCTCTGTTCCAAGCCCTGGGGAGATGGAGGCAGGAGGATCAGGAGTCCAGGGTCATTCTTGGCTATGTAGGGAGTTGGAGATGCATGGGCCTCTCAAAAACTTTTTAAATGTTATTGGAACAGCTATTACAAAATACAGAACAACTATTAAAGACAGCTTAATGATCTTTTCCCCCATGCCCCCATGTTTGTTAGAATAAACAGCCTGTAGACTTTGTCTCCATGCACACACAAACCTGTACAAAGTTGGGTCACCGAAAGAAAGCTTGCAGGGTTTCAAGAGTTTTAATTGCTTGATAATTTCATGCATATAATGTATTTTAATCAAATCTCCCTACTCCTTCCCTTCTGGAGCCTTTCTACTCCCCTATCACAATCCTCCCCAATTTCATGTGTCACTGTTTGTTTTGTTTTGTTTTTGTTTTTGTTTTTGGACAAGGTCTTTTTGCTATATAGCATCGGCTGGGCTGAAATTTGCTATGTAGACAGTGTAGCCATGAACTTACACCTGTCTGTCTCCTGAGTGCTGGGATTAAAATTGTGCCGCTGGCCCACTTAGTGCTGCCATCATGTGCATAAGTGTAAGACCATCTACCAGAGCACGGGCAGGGTCTCAGGGACCTCAAGAAGCTTACTCTCCCTCTCCCGACAGCCATGGATTGCCAGTAGCTTTTCAGTTTGGAGTGGGACTTTGAGAACCCCACCACATCAGCCCTGGGATTCTGTCTGACACATCTGCTAATTCATGTGTTTAATTGTGTTGAATACCAATGACTGCATCGTAATAGTGACTTCAAGGCTTATTGATAGATTACCTTTTTAGACAGTCTCGCTCTGTAGACCTTGAACTAACACAGATTTGTACCACTGCACCCAGTTGTTTAAGGTTTTTTGACAAAAATGGGATTATGCTTCTTTGTATATTACTTAATATATTTTATCCATTCTTCTGGGGCAGTAGGCCAGGCTTAGTTTCATTCTCTTTAACAGCTGAGTAACTTTCCTTACATTGAATCTACTATGATTTAATTAACTAGCTACCTTTTGATAGACATTTGTTTTCAGTTTTTCTTCTCCCCTCCCCCCTTGAAGAAGGTTGAAGCAAGTTTCAGAGATGGCTCAGTAAGTAAAGCTGCGTCCTGTGAAAGCAAGAGGACCTAAGTTTGGATTCCTGACATTTACATAAAGTCTGGACATGGCCACATGTTGTAGAATAGAATATTTGTTTAACTATGCAAAAATGTGTTGCAGTTGTTTAATTATGTAAAAATGTGTTGCTGTTTTATCTTGCCTGTCTGGGGCACCTGATTGGTCTAATCAAAAGCTGAATGGCCAATAGTGCTTGAGGAGGTATAGATGGGACTTATGGGCAGGGAAAGTAAGTAGGAGGAGGAATTTAGGCTCAGAGAAAGAAAAACTGACACCAGGGAGATGCCCAGGGGTCAAACAGACACAGAGAAAGCAAGAAAGTAGGATGTGCAGAATAAAAGAAAGGTAAAAGCCCCAAGGCAAAAACCTAGATGAATAGAAACGGGTTAAATTAAGTTAAAAGAGCTAGGGAGACAAGCAAGCCTAGGCTAAGGCCGAGCATTCATGATTAATGAATTATGAAAGATGCCTCCGAATCTTTATTTGGTAGCTGGTTAGTGGTCTAAAGAAAATTCCACAGGAGCCCGGGCAGTGGTGGCACACGCCTTTAATCCCAGCACTTAGGAGGCAGAGGTAGGCAAATCTCTGTGAGTTCGAGACCACCCTGGTCTACAGAGCTACTGAGAAATCCTTTCTCAGAAAACAAAGAAAAAAAAAGAAGTGTGGGTGCCCAGTGGGGTGACATCAAGGACGGGTGTGGATGGGAGCTGGAAGTGCGAGGTGCTTCTCCCAAAGCCAGGTGGCTAGGTTTGGGTTCCAGTTCCTATATCTAGAATTCTTTTTTTTTTTTTAAAAAAAAAAAAACTTCTGGTTTATCTCTCCCATTTCCAACTAGATAAGAACGTTCATCCCCTATACAAGATTTTGTATAACAGTTTAGTTAAAAAAAAAAACCTACAAACTATATTTACATCAAAAATTGAAATGACAAGAACAAAAAATAACATGGGCTCCAAAAACACCAAGGTAAGAGACGGTCAACACATCATTCTACCTCACAGGTTCCAGAGTGCAGCATGCTTGACCATAACAGCCCTTACAAGGTTGCACCAAGAAAACACAGTAACTATGGTCCAGTAGTCACTGTGGAAACAGCAACCAAGACCATCATCAAGTCAGCCTTTCCTCTCCAAAAAGCCAAGCTTTTGAGTGTTGGCTCACGCCTGTAATCCCAGCACTTGGCTGAGTGAGGCAGGAGGCGTATCATGAGTCTGAGGACCACAGAGGGACATTATATCTCAATAAAGCAAAGTGACCCAAGTGTCTTCTGCTTCAGCACTCCTGGGTGAGGCTGACCAGGCTGGGATGTGGTGGCGTTCTGAGCAGTCTCAGGAGCAGGGTGTGAACATCAGTACTGGAAACTGCGCTTGGTCCTGATATCATCGAGAATCTGCTGCAGTTCCTCATCTTCAAAACGCCCTTCCAGACTTGGAATCAGAGCTTTGGACTCCTCAGCAGTCTCTGGGCAAAGATTAGCTAAACAGGCCAACTCAAACTTATGTAGCTTTTTCTGGAGAAGCAAGCTACGAACACTGGCAATGGTCTCTGTATTTTTGAAACGACTGAAACGGCCTGTGTAGTTCAGGGTTTTCATGCAAACCTCAGAAAGCTCCAGTTCATCTTCTGCGCTCTCATTTTGCTGCTTTCGATGCTCCAGAAGCATGTGAACTTCAGAGTTCAGGAGTGTCTCTGCTGTCTCAAACTCTTTCGGAAAGATGAGTTGAGAGGCATCTTCTTCAACGTCTCCAGCCCGAGGATCACTGCCGCCGGCTGCCATTGTTTTAGGATGTACTGCCACGGACACACCGCTGGGGAAAACCTCTATCTAGAATTCTAATCCCAGTTCTGGCCTGGGCTGGCGGTTAAAAAGCCTTGGGTGAACAGCTTTTTTGTGAATTCATGCCCCAAAAGTTGGGCACCAAAATGAAGCACGATTAATAAAAACTCAGAGAAATTGGGGTTCAACCTGAAGACCAGAAAAGCAAAACAGCCAGCCACTGGCTTTTACCTCAACCTCAGTCTGAAAATGGCGATCCTGCCTCCAGGAATTTCAGAATGAGACTGAGACTGAGAGCTGTCTCCTCCCGTTTTATAACCCTCTTTAGAGCTGGGATTAAAGGTGTGCACCACTGGGATTAAAAACGTGCACCTCCCGGTTTCTATGGCAACTAGTGTGGCTACTGGGATTAAAGGCGTGTGTTACCACTTCCTGGTCTGTAAGGCCGACTGACTAGTGGGGCTGTTTTACTCTCTGATCATCAGGCAAGCTTTATGTGTTAAAATACAAATAAAATGCCACTACACAGCCACAGGTGCCTCTAGTCCCAGCACTGGGAGGCAGAGTTAGGATCCTGGTAGCTCACTGGCCAGCCAGTCTGTATGAAGCCCCATGCTTCAGGATCAGTGCAAGACCCTATCTTGAAAAAATAAGGTGGTGGGTGAGTGATAAAGATATTTGATCTCCTCTCACCTTCCCATACATGTGCGTGGGTGTGAAAACACACACACAAGAACACTGAAATGTACATATGATCCATGCATACTTGACTGCTTCCCCCAAGATGGGACTGCCAGATAAATGGTTGCTGTCCTGTTTTAAAATGTTCCTAGATGTTGCTGAGTTATTTTCTTCTAGATTGTAAATATGAACGCAGAGATGTATGTTGTTTTGATTGTTGCTGTTCCTGTAGGATAGTGTGATGCGGAGTAGGTGCTGAGGAAATCTGTTGGGTAAAGTTTCCAAGTTTAGAACAGTTCATCCGCTCCTAGCCATTTCTGGGAGCGCCTGTTCCCTCTGTTTTACTGAGAGTGCAGTAACCAGTCTCAGACATTTCACAGGCTAACTCTGCTTTCATGGTACAGAGGTCAATACTTTTTTATATCTAATTGTCCTTTGCATTGTCTCTCTGATAAACTGCCTGTTCAAATCCTGTGAGCCCTGTTTTCTATCTGGAATCTCTAGTGTTCTTTGAATGGCCTATTAATTTTCGAATACATTTGTTGTACATTCAATTTTTTAAAGCTGGGTATGGTGCCTCCTTATGCCTTTAATCTCAACACTTGGGAGGCAGAGGCAAGCGAAATCACTGTGAGTTCAAAGCCAGCCTGTTTTACAATGTGAATTCCAAGCCAACCAGGGCTTCCTAGTGAGATACTGTCTCACAGAAACTCACTACAGTTCCTTGTTAAGTGTGTATGTGTGTGTGGCATGTGACGTGCTTGTGTGCACACACAGGAGTATGTGTGTGGAGTGTGCTTGTGTGCACGCACAGGAGTATGTGTGTGGAGTGTGCTTGTGTGCACACACACAGGAGTATGTGTGTGGAGTGTGCTTGTGTGCACACACACAGGAGTATGTGTGTAGAGTATGCTTGTGTGCATACACACGAGTATGTGTGGAGTGTGCTTGTGTGCATACACAGGAGTATGTATGTGGAGTGTGCTTGTGTGCACGCACAGGAGTATGTGTGTGGAGTGTGTTTGCACACACGCAGGAGTATGTGTGTGGAGTGTGCTTGTGTGCACACACACAGGAGTATGTGTGTACAGTATGCTTGTGTGCATACACACGAGTATGTGTGTGGAGTGTGCTTGTGTGCATACACACAGGAGTATGTGTGTGGAAGTAGAGTTCAGAGGACAGCTTTCGTGAGTTGATTCTCTCCTTTCGGGTGGGTCCCAGGGATCAAATTCAGGTCATCAGGCTCAGCAAGCCCCTTTACCCAGTGAGCCACCTCGCTGACCCTTCTTGTTGAACATTTTTATTGTCTAGTTTATCCTATATGATTTTATATAGATCTAATATTTGTGGGTTCAACTATGTTATTATTTTATTATTTCATTGGGTTCTTGGCCTGCTTAAAGAGGGTTCTTTTCTGCTTTTAAAATTCTACAAATACATCCCTCGATTTATTTTTCTGATTGTATTTTATTTCTAATTTTTTGAGACTGGGTCTCATATACTCCAGGCTGGTCTAAAATTCTATTATATTGAAGGTGGATTTTTCTGTCCTGCTTGCCAGCTCCCAAATAACCATATAGAGACTTATTATTAATTATAAAACCTTGGCTGATAGCTTAGACTTGTTACTAATTAGTTCTTACAGTTTAAATTAACTCATTTTTATCAATCTACTTTTTGTCTTGTGGCTTTATTACCTTTTCTCTGTACAGCCCATGCTTCTTCTTCTCTGCCTGGCTGGTGACTCCACAAGACTCCAGCCTTCTTCTTTCCAGCATCCTCTATGCCTGGAAATTCTGCCTGGCTATTGGCCATTCAGCTTTTTTTTTTAAATCAATCACAGCGACATATTTTTACACGGTGTAATAAAATATCTTGCAACAATATGTAGCCAAAGATGACCTTGAACTTCCTGACTCTCCCTCTAGGTTATACCACCATGCCTGACTTTTAATGTTTTTGTTATTTTAACTTTAAAGTTATTTTTGAAAAATTATCTGTATATGTCTGTGTGTGGCTATGTGCACATGAGTGAAGATGCCCAGAGAAGCCAGAAGAGGGCATTGAATGCCCTAGGGCTGGAGTTACAGCCAGCTGTCAGTAACCCAAAATAGGTACTGGGAAGCGATCTGTAGTTCATCACAAAAACAGTGTCATTGATTAACCACTAATCCTTCTCTTCAGTTATTTATTTGGTTTTAATAGTTAGGGAAGTCTTGACTCTCTTTTCTCTTGATAAACAGCTGATCATTTCAGTGCTGTTTAAGAAGGAAGTCATCCTTTACCCATAAATTGAAATGACTCTCACATTATAAGTACAGACAGAAGCCGGGCAGTGGTGGTACTTGCCTTTAATCCCAGCACTTGGGAGGCAGAGGCAGGAGAATATCTGTGAGTTCGAGGCCAGCCTGGTCTACAGGAGCTAGTTCCAGGACAGGTTCCAAAGCTACAGAGAAACCCTGTTTCAGAAAAAAAAATTGCAAATACAACCTTGAATTTTTTTCTCTTGTTTATTTTGCGGATTGATTTTTCTATGTGTATGCCATAGTGTTTTACTCATAGTACTTTATGGTAAATTTTCACATCTTTTTCATCATTTTCTTGACATTTATTCTTCCAAAGGAACATTAAAATATTTTAACTGGTTCACTCAAAAGGCCCATTGGGAATTTTTATTATTAAATTGAGCCTGACATGTTCATCATATTGCCCTCACATCTGTTTTTCCAGTTACTCTAGTTTTGTTTTAATTCTTTCATAAAATATTCTTGCTTTCATATCCTTTGACAAGTTCGTGGCAATTTTTAAAGCTATCTCCTGCTGGAGAATGGGAAAAAGCTATCAATATGACTCATGTATATGCGTGTGTGTGCATGCGTGTGTGCGTGGATACATGTGCCACAGCACGCATGTGGTGGTCAGAGAGCAACTTATGGGAGTGAGTTCTCTCCTTCCATTATGTAGGTCCCAGGGCTCAAATTCAGTTTGTCAGGCTTGGCTGCAAGTGTTTGGCATCTGGACCATCTCACCAGCCCTGATTTATATATATTTTCACATGCATGCTTATTTTTAACCATAGTATCTTATCCATTTTAATCGTGCTTTAGAAGCCTTTTGAATTTTATTATGTATAGTCATATCAGAAAAAGTTGTGAATTAACGGGCTGGAGAGATGGCTCAGTGGTTAAGAGCACTTCCTGGTGTTTGGAGGATCAGAGTTCAGTTCCCAGCACCCATGTCCAGCAGCTCACCACTGTGTGTAACATAAGCTCTAGGACATCCAAAGCCGCAGGTCTCTTCCAGGACCTGCTCTCATGTGTGCAGTACCCCCTCCCGTAACTGGAAATATGAAAAATACTATACTATACTAAAATAATATACAATATACTAATTTTCCCCTTTGCATCCTGAATCATTTACAATAAGACAATGCTGACTGGTATACTTACTATTATAAGCATTTCTGTTACTCCTGATCTTGTTCTGTTTTTTTTTACTTTTTTTTTTTTTTTTTTTTTTGAGACAGTGTCTCATTGTTTCCCTGGCTGGCCTGGAACTTGTTATGTAGATCAGACTGCCTTCAAACTCAACGGGAGCCACCTGCTTTTGTCTCCCCAAGTGTTGGGTTTAAAGGCCTGTGACCACCGAACCTGGTCAAGTTTTTACTTCCCTTGCTCTAGTATCAGGCCCCGTTCTTAGTACTGGTTTTGTGTGTGTGTGTGTGTGTGTGTGTGTGTGTGTGTGTGTCTTAGTCTGTTTTTCACAACTCTAACAGAACAGCCCAGGTAATTTATGAACAATAGAAGTTTGGCCTGTGGCTGGGAAGAAAAGATAGAGGGGGCCACACTTGGTGTTATGTGTGGAGAGTATAACCTGAAGGAGAGTTGAAAACGGGGCGAGAAAAGGAGGGGGAGGGGAGAGGGAGTGGAACTGAGGGAGAGAGACAGAATCCTGAAGGACAGACTCGCCACAACTCCCTACCTACTCCTGTGGTATCAGAACTTTCTCAGGACAGAGCCCCGTGACATCACCAACCTCTCAAAGGCTCCGCTCCTTAATATGGTTATAAAAGCAATTCAATTCAAGACGAGTTTTGGAGGGAACATTCAGACCGCAGCACCTCCCAGTCGCTCGGAGACCATTGGAAGCACTGCACAGTTCCTGTACATGAGTCACCACCTTCTGCTAAGCTCCCAGTGGCTCAGCTGCCTTTTAACAGCCAGTAAATGCCTCTGGGAGAAAAGCAACGGTGGCCGCGGGTCCCTCCTCGGCTCTCAAGTCTTCTTTGTACTGATAGCATGCTTGATACTCTTTAA